GGGGTTCACATACTTTTTCTTGCAACTGTATATGTTGCTGAGCTAATCAAAGCATGGTTGTGGTGCTGAGGTGTGGTTGTCCAGTTCAGTTGTATTTGCAAGGTGTTATGACGCAGGGTCCAAGACTGCTAAACTGCTTCAATTCCTCTCGGACAACTTGAATTGATTGGCTATTTAAACTTTGCCCCACCTGGAGATATTTCACTTGCAAAGAGTTAAAGTTGAATTGAGGCAAACTGGTAATCTGGAAGGAGCTGATTTACACAGCAAACAAGTTGTTTTTCTGTCCATCCAGTCCTGAGATTTACACAGCACAGTCTTGCCTGGCAGGAAAAGAATGATTTTACTCGGCTGCATTTCAGTTATCTTATTTAGGTCTCGTCATTCTCCCACCCGGTGTCTGGACTGTGAAAGAAGCAGCACATTGATGGACTCACCTGTCAGCTGTTCTGTACAGGGACTGCAAAATTCTAAAACCACGTCAAATTCAAGTACCTCTACTTTCTTGCATTTTGCTTGAGGCTTTGACCTGAAGAAGGGGACACTCCCCGAAAGCTTGTCCTTAAAAATTGTTTGTTAGTGCAAATAAAAAAGTATCACGGACAGTACTCAATTGTTTCTTGCATTTTAAAATTTATGTAATACATTTTTACATTTAATTTAAAATTAAATTTTATATTTTTTTTATTCAGTCATTTAATTCTATAAATATTACAGTGCTGCATTAATTTGTGGTTTCTCTTTCTGCCTGAAGGCCAGATTTATTAATAATAGTGTTTTATTAATAGTAAAAGTAGTATTGACTTTACTATTATTGCTAATACATATATTTTTTTTTTTTTGGATTTTTTTTTCACTTTTGTTCTGTAGAATTCTCTTGAATGTGCTATTTTCCTACCGAGTGACTGTTGTTGACAGGCAAATAAAACAGCCAGTAGGCAGCTGGAAGCCAGTCACAAGACACTAGCGATGAGCAGAGTGCGGACAGGACGCAGAAATTTATGTGAAACGCGGACTTAATGTGGTTTTAGGAAGTCTCTTGCCTAAAAGCAAAAGGGATCTGCAGCTGATTGGGACAACTTCACTTTGGTGATATATGCCAAGTTAACAAATGTGCTTTCCACATGACCTGGTCTTTTACAGGCAGTTTTATTGTCAGCTTGGATGAGAAATGAGTGATCTGCCCTGCCTGGCTGTGATTGCGATGTGCCTTCACAGTATGATGGTGAACGCCCGCACAGCTTGATAATCAATGGTAATGCTCAGACCATTCACTTTGCTGACAGAAAACAAGCCATTAAGCTCTCTGGGAGAATGTGTGTGATGTAAAATAATCCTGTCCTCCCAATAGGATGTGTAAAGCGAGATGTTCCTGTCACTGGTTATCGGTTGTTGACTAAGAGCAGATCAGGAAATCTGGTAGCTGGGGGGCTTAAGCCAGCCATAGATGGTTTGAATCTCAGCCAGTTCAGCAGGGACTGGCCAAGATTTGAACCATCTATGTGCAGGCTGATTGTACCCACTTCGGTTGTTGAAAGTCTTGAGTACAACCAGCCTGTTGGATTTTTCATGCGATTATTGCCAGCAGTTATAGCCACTATCAAAATTCACTGTGTTCTCCCGGCAGGGACGGTTTCCCCCATCAACACAGACTGATGGGGGAATTGAGCGATTGGGGAGGTGAGCAATTTATTTTTTCCTGTAGCCCTTGCTTGCAGGAAAGAAAATCATATAGTCTATGGCGGAGGTCAGCAACCAGTAGATGGTGATCTATCAGTACATTGGCCAGATGACTGGTAGATCGCGGTCAGGGCTTGCTGACCCCTCATCCCAGAGCATCAGACAGAGTGCAATGCAGAGGGACTACTTGTAAAATTGGAGTTGTAGTAGGGAGCAAAAGCTGCATAAGTTGATGTCTCCTCTTTAGTTCTTTCTTGTGAATGAGGCCACTCTGCAAGTGCCCTGAAATCTTCTGCAGTACAGCAAACAAGGGGTTAAACAGGCAGCGTTGTGTTGCTTTCCCACCAGCTGCTTTAACCCCTTGGACCCTGCTGAAGCATGCAGTTGCGGGGCACTTGCAGAGTGGCTCCATTTACTTGAATGGGTCTGGACTGACGGGCGCGGTAGCATCCACCAAAAGCAACAGGAGGTGTAGTTCTTGCTGTGGCATGTGTATACTTTTGACTGCTGCCTCAGCAGCTAAAGGGGGAAGGGATTGGGGGCGGTAAAACCATGATTCAAACGCAGGGTTTTACCATTCTGCAACTTTACTTGCGAACGAGACGCTGATGGATGCAACTAAGGGCTCATTCACAAATGCAGCAGACACTACCGCTCTTCTGCAAAGCAATCCAAGTGTGTTTGACAGGTGGTGAGCAAGCGATATGTTGCCTCCTCACCACCTGATTTAAACCCATGATTGCTGTGCAATGTACGCGATTGTGACACTGTAGTACTGCAATTAGAGGTTTAAATCAGGTGTGTGGTGGTGACACTGTGCCTGGTGATCTTTCACTTCTCCCATGTTATTCAGGTAGATCTCCACCTCTTTAAGGTTGCCTACCTCTGGTTTGTGATCTGTTTAATGTCAGAGGAGCCCACTGAGCAATCCCCTGCTTAAGCCTTCCATAGATGGTTCAAATCATCTTTGGGCAAGGCTGATTGTACCAAAGTCGATTGCTGTACAAATTTTTACATGTCGTTATTGCCAACGGCTATACCCGCTAGCAATAATTACTGTTTTCTCCTGGTTTCTTGCGCGCACCCCCCACGGCGGGAGAACACAATAGCTCTGCGGGAGGAATTTCCCCATCAACATGGACGGTGTTGATGGGGAAAACATCATGATCCATGGCCTGCCTTACACGTACACCTAAAACATTGGCAAAGTAATCCTCGGGGCTCTGATGGGAAGATCTGTCTGTGTTCTCAGTGGCCTGAGGGCCATAGTTATTAGGAGGGATTCCTGTTCTCCATGTTTTTTATGGCGAATTCCACATTATGAGTAGAGAGAAGTCCTTAAGATACGGTAAGTTTAAATACCAAAGACTCCATGGTGATCAGGAACAAGTGGGAGTCATGGCAAGAGAATCTCACCCTATGGAACGCTCAAGAGACTGGTGACTCGTCCTAGTGAGCTCCACTTATAACTGAGATCACTTTGTGGTGGATTGAACCTTTAAAAGGGAACTGTAGACTTATTTGGTATTGTTTTCTTGTGTTTCTATTTTTTGTTGATATACATAGGGCAGACATATGTGAAATCTATGCTTTCATCATGTAATTGAGGTTTCTGACTGCAGTATCTGATATTCAGCTAGAGGTACAAGATGGTTTACATTCCTGGTTCTGTTATGTGTCATGGTGCACAAATGAAGACCTGATTGTAAACCTAAAGTGGACCTAACATCAACGTTTAACAGAAGGACTTGAGGCAGCCTACATCCACCGAGGATCTGGGGTTAGTTCTCCAAGGTGTTTGGAACAACCTACCTGCTGAGTTCCTTCAAAAACTGTGTGTAAGTAGACCTAGAAGAATTGAATATTTGATACAGTTTTGAAGGCAGAGGGAAGTCACGCCAAATATTGATTTGATTTGAATTTCTCTTCTGTTCACTTTCCAGTTTGTTAATTGATAAAAAAAAAACACTTAAATTTCTGAAAGCATTCTTCATTTACTGCATTTTTCACACCTGCCTAAAACCTCTGTACAGTACTGGAAATGGATAAACGCAGGCCATTGTAAGCACCCCTGTCAGTAGTCAGTGTTAAATGGTTTGTCCCAGCCCTCTGACACTTTGTCTGGCCAGCCTGGGCTGTTGAAAAATAAGATTTACTGGCAGGTTCACCAGGAGAAAATAAAGGGGGGAAAAAAAGCAGCCACCACATCTAAGAATTGGTAAGCTGCAATTTAAAGTGGTTGTAAACCCTTACATATACCTAGTGAAGTGACTAGCTTCAAGTGTTACAGAGGTGAAACAAATCCTCCTACATAAGGTGAACCTGTCTGCAACCCTTTCTTCTTTACAGCCCTTCAGAGTTCAGAATTTCTACATCTTGTCTGAGATTTCAGAAAGCAGAGGCAGGGAGCAGAAGTTACACTCTGCAGAGCTCAGTGAGAGCTGTTTGGACCGAAGGAACAGAGCTAGAGCTAAAGCTGTCAATCACTAGCTGTGTGCTGGAGTTTCCTCCCCGTTTTCTGTTGGTGTCATGAAAACCTGTCAGAAGTGACTCCTACAGATAACAGAGGAATGAGGCAGCAGACAGAAATGACACTTGGTGCTCTGGATTTAGAAAAGTACACAATATAGAGGGATATGCTCCTAGATTGTAAGCTCCAAGGAGCAGGGCCCTTGAACCCCTCGTGTATCGCATCGCATTGTATTGTTACGGTACTGTCTCATGTACTGTCTCCCATTATAATGTACAGCGCTGAGCAAACTTTGGCGCTATATAAATACTGTATAATAATAATATGCCTTGTTTCATTTCATGTCTGTGGTTTACAACCACTTTAATCAATTTCATGTGTTGGGGTATAATACTGCTTTAAGTTTTTGCTACACATTTCCTATTCAGCACATTATAGATGAGCTAATCCAGAAAAAAAAAAAAAATGGCCACCATGGTATAATAGGAGCTTCTCCGATTCTGCTTTCTGTATCGGCTCCCCTCATGTAGTGGACAGTTGGGGATGACACAACATTTTTAAGGGTGTAAGCTACCAGGCTGCTTATTTGCTGCATTCTAATTGCAGGTAAATTGGGTAGAAATGATAACTAGATTTTATAATATTTTTTTCATTTGGAACCAAGATCTTTTTTGCACGTCTGTTTAGGTAAAAGGAAATCTTTTGAACTATCACTGCCATTAATCGGTGTCATTTTATTTCCTGCTTCTTAGAGGGATACAAATCACTGGACCAGCTCAGCATAACAATCCCCACAGCAGGGCACCCAGTGTCTCCTGCTCACCCACTCTCAGGATGCCCTGTTCCCAGTGTTCCACCTGCTGCTGAGCCTGTCCCCTACCTGCAGACCCCCAACTCAGAACCTCAGACAATGGCCATGCTGAAAACTGCTCGAGAGTGTCCGCAGAGCTCCAAACCCCCGAGTGGATCCAAGTCAGGAGTCCGAAATACACCGGGGTGTGTGCATGCAGCTGACAGTAAGACGAGCAAAAGCCACAACCACCCCAAACAGCAGAGGATCAGCAGGAGAAGAGCCACAAATGGCTGGATGCCTTTGGGTACAGCTTGTGAGAAAGCAGTCTATGTGGTTGTAAGTATTTAGTTGCTGCACGCCAATACAGTATAAATCCATGGAAATATTTTTTTATTCCATATAAACATGTTACTGTGCCTTATTCACGTATCATGGTTAACACTTTTTCACCCAGCCTTGGTGTCCCTTTTTAATAGGATCTGTACGCCTGGGGGGCAAGGATCAATGATTATGAAACCACAGTGGTTTGCTGTCACAGTATTCACATCAACCGTCAGACAGCTCGGTCTCTGTGCTGGGAGCGCACTGTGAGCACGCTCTCAGCACAAAAATGTCAGCTGCTTAATAACGCGTGTGTGGGCATTACAGCTCACCATTTTTGCCACTGCACATATGTGCAACAGCATATCAAAAGCCAAATTTCACTTAGTTTTGAATGAAGAATACAATTATTAAATTCCATGTTGGCTTTTTGCTATCTGTCTCCCATTTGGGGCATCTTTCTTGTCCAATCAGAGATGCTTTGTATTCACTGGTGAATATGCAGTGGGACAGCCAATCGGCACAGAACCCAGAAAATTGCAGTGATCACTATATGTATTTATTATTATTTATTATAGGTACTTGTATAGTGCTGTCAGTTTACGCAGTGCTTTACACACACCTACATACATATATATATATATATATATATATATATATATATATATATATATATATAGTACATTCACATCAGTCCCTAACCCTCAAGGGGCGTACAATCTAAGGTACCTAACTTACATTCATACACACTAGGGCCAATTTAGACATGAGCCAATTAACCTACCAGCATGTCTTTGGAGTATGGGAGGAAACCAGAGTACCCAGAGGAAACCCACGCAGGCACAGGGAGGACATGCAAACTCCAGGCAGGTGGTGCTGTGGCTGGGATTCGAACCAACAACCCTAGTACTGCCAGGCAGAAGTGCTAACCATTTAGCCAATGTGCTGCCTCCTATTGCAATGTAGCACAGCCAATTTACTAAAGTGATTTCCAGCTTCACTCATGTATGAGATATGGGTACTTACATTGGTCTATGCTGGACCATTGTAACTATGCAATTAAGATCATACCTGAAGTTCAGCTTTAATTCCTGACTGCTAGCTGTGACCTGGTTTTTTTCCAGTTCCTATCCTTCCTGTCCATGTTTGTGTCTTTTTATTTCATTGTCTTTGGTTATGCTTTAAAGTAGAACTACAGGCAAAACTTTTTATTCTATTTTGGAGTAAAGGAGGGTCATAACCCGTCAGTTTATTTTTTGCCATCTGTGTCCCATTGGGGAGATTTCCCTTCACTTCCTGTCCCATAGCCAAAACAGGAAGAGAGCGGAAATCCTGCAAATTAAGGGAATCCCTTGGGGACCCCCAGGTTACCGGAACAAGTGTAAGGAGAGAAAGAGAAGCGCCTCTAAATGCAGCAGACCACTTTAATATAGCATAAAAGTAGGAACACTCACATGTAGGTAGAGTAATACAGGCGTGTTAAATGTGAGGTGTTGAACACCCAAGTAGAACGGCTGTCACTGGTGCCCTCTGTGTCCGCATCTCACTGGAGCAGCGTGGTAGCAGGAAGGATACAGATGGCAGCTGGCCGGTGTGCACGTACTCCTCAATGGCAGCTGCTTGACAAAGGAGCACGCTTCCACCACTAGAGGCCAGCGCATGCTCCGAAACAAATCGCATTGCATCCTGGTCACTGACGTCATCACGCCAGCGGTGCTCTCCATCATGCATTCCAGCTGCCATTGAGGAGTACGTGCACGCCGGCTCCACATCTGTCTCCCTCTTGCTCTTCTCTTCTAGGAGTGTCTAAATAGTCTTTTGTGCTGGCCCAGCTCCTCCACCCCTCCCTTTACCTCCCTACAAAAACTTTTATGTAGCTAAAGAGGAATACTACAGTATTGAGTGACACTCTGGAGTCTGCTGGCATCACATCCAGGACAGTGGCACTCCTCAGCAGATGTCTCTGGGCTTTTTTAAGTCTACACAGGGGAGGCTTTTCAAGGTAAATAACAAGAATAAAAGATGTTAGTGGTTCTAAAGTCAAAATGTTTTTTACAGATACTGCAAAGAACGCCCCACTACCTGTCCTACCCACCCTCCTTTCTAAACAATTACCTGACTCCTGTATTGCTCCAGAAACTTCTCTGCTTCAGCACCACTTCCTGATCTCACAGGGGACACTGAGGGCAGCAGTGCCAAAATCTCCAGCTGCTGTCAGTCAAACTGCTGTGAGGAGGGAATGGGGGCGTGGCTTACTGAAGTGGTGTGTGTTTATGGATGCACACAGCCCTATTCAGGAGCTCATGTGCATAGGTACCTCCTTGGCGCACAGCTTGCTAAGGAGGTACCCTGAGTAGGGAGGAGTGAACAGCGCCAGTGAGGGACTTCCAGAAGAGGAGGTTAAGGATCTTTCTCTGCAATATCGTTGCATAGAGCAGGTAAGAATCGCATCTTTTTTATTTTAACCCAAAAGTATCCTTCTGTATCACTTTATATGCATCCTTTGATAAGATTTTCCTTGAAATGAAGGGTCTGGTGACATGGTATCTTTAAGAGTTATTTTTGTTATTTTGTTTTATTTACCGTATTTATTTATTTTTTCTGGTGACTGTTTTGTTGATGACTTCATTTTAAAGGTTTATATTTTTAGGCTTTTCATCTTTTTTATTGCTTCACTGCTTGCTATGCAAGTAACCCAGAACAAGCATAACCAAAACACAGGTTAGAATAGCTGAAATCATCCTTGTTACAGGTGACTCACAAGTAGTAGTAGTGATACAAAATCTAGTCCGACAGCCTTGGAGCTTTTCCTTTTTAGTAACAAGTCAGCATTGGCAATTTGAAAATTTTCCTTTACTACTTGGAGTTGAGTACATTATTCGGAGAGATAAAAGTATCGTATTTTGCGCTCCATAAGACGCACCTAGGTTTTAGAGGCGGAAAACAAGAAAAGGAGATGACCAGAGACTGCGGACACAGTACAGGGGATGACCAGAGACTGCGGACACAGTACAGGGGATGACCAGAGACTGCTGAAACAGTACAGGGGATGACCAGAGACCGCGGACGCAGTACAGGGGATGACCAGAGACCGCGGACGCAGTACAGGGGATGACCAGAGACCGCGGACGCAGTACAGGGGATGACCAGAGACCGCGGACGCAGGACAGGGGATGACCAGAGACCGCGGACGCAGCACAGGGGATGACCAGAGACCGCGGACGCAGCACAGGGGATGACCAGAGACCGCGGACGCAGCACAGGGGATGACCAGAGACCGCGGACGCAGCACAGGGGATATGACCAGAGACCGCGGACGCAGCACAGGGGATGACCAGAGACCGCGGACGCAGCACAGGGGATGACCAGAGACCGCGGACGCAGCACAGGGGATGACCAGAGACCGCGGACGCAGCACAGGGGATGACCAGAGACCGCGGACGCAGCACAGGGGATGACCAGAGACCGCGGACGCAGCACAGGGGATGACCAGAGACCGCGGACGCAGCACAGGGGATGACCAGAGACCGCGGACGCAGCACAGGGGATGACCAGAGACCGCGGACGCAGCACAGGGGATGACCAGAGACCGCGGACGCAGCACAGGGGATGACCAGAGACCGCGGACGCAGCACAGGAGATGACCAGAGACTGGACACAGTACAGGGAAAATAACAGGGACATAGTACAGGTGACCAGAGACTGTGGACCTTTGGGGAGAGAGGGGGAACGGATACCTGAATTTGACAGGTACCCGCTCCCACTTCCGTGGATTTGTCCTTCCCTCTTCTTCCCGCTCTGGCTTCTGTGACAGCCGGGTACCCACTGCGCATGTGCGAGACGCGCTGCGCTTTGTGAATGGCCCGGCGCCTTCTGGGACCTGTCATGTGTCCCAGAAGACACCAAACCATTCACAAAGCGCAGCGCTTCTTGCGCATGTGCAGTGAGCACCTGGCTGTCACAGAAGCCAGCATGGGGAAGACTGTACAGCGCTGGACCGAGGATCAGGTAAGGTCCTGCAGGAGAGAAGAGCTGAGCGGCCGGCCCAATATTCTGACACAGTGGCAGCAGAAATACCAGACCGGCCGCTTTATATTCGCGCCATAAGACGCGCTGACATTTTCCCCCCTTTTTTTGGGGGAAAAAAGTGCATCTTATGGAGCGAAAAATACGGTAATCGTTGCCAATTAGATTGCTAGGCATTTTATTCAGTGTGTGCTGTCCCTTCGACTTTCTGTAAAGCTGGGAGGGAGCTCATCCTACACACAGTCCAATACCCAGGCATATCTTAACGTTTAGAGGACATTTTAAAGATGGATGGTAGATTCCTAACTGAGGCCATACTGAACAGAGAGGACTATTCATAAGTGAGGTTTTTTTTGTATTTTAACAGAATGAGCCTGAGCCTGCTCTCCGAAGAAGTTACCAAGCTGTGGAGAGAAATGGAGAGATTATCAGAGTCCGAGACACTGTCCTTCTGAAATCTGGTCCCAGGAAAAAATCCATGCCATATGTGGCAAAGATATCTGCTCTCTGGGAAGAACCAAAAACCGGTATGAGTAAACTTCTATTCTGTCTGTAGCTGGTATTGGGGTACATGTGAACTTGTTTGCATATGTGTTGCGTTAAGGCAGATTTACTTTGTGGATGAAACTTTTCTGATGCTGCTTTTAGGGTTTATTGTACCATGCACTTTATAGCTTTTATAGGTATACATGGTCATATATTAATGCCACTAAATGCAGGCCAGTGTTATCTGCAGTTACCTACTGATCCAAGACAACAAGCCCACTGCAAGTGTAAGGCCTCATTTGCACCATATGTGCAGAAAAACTGATTGAAAAAAGGTGCAGATTTCATGTGCACAGACAGGAGTTTACATCAGTGCGTTGCATTGAGTTTTTGGTAGTGGTGCACTGAAATGAAAATTCTGGTGCCGGAACCTAAAATTCAGGATGCACTTGTCCGAAAACCGAAATGGACAGTTTTTAAAAATTAATATTAGGGATGCACCGAAATTTCGGCCATCAAAACATATCGCCCGAAAATAGCCCTATCAGCATTTTGTCGCTAGGAAAAATTTAGCCGATACAGGGGACTGCGTGTACTGCAGATACGAGGGGGGGGGGGGGGGGGGGGGGGGGGGTGCGGAGTAAGGCAGGAGAGGAGAAGTGTATACAATGACTGGCTGTCACTATATGTCAAGAAGAAAAAAAAAAAAAAAGCCAGCAATTGCATTTAACCACTTCCCGACCGGCCGTTGTATATAAAACGGGAGCGCGCAGCACCGCGATCCGGTGCCCGCTGTGTCCTCCGGACACAGTGAAACACCGATCGTCGGACGGGACCTCTGTACGAGGTCCCGATCATGTGATCACTGATTGGCCAATCAGTGATCACATGCAAAGTAGTAAGCAAGATGTCACTTGTGACATCATTGCTTACTATGTGTGAAATCTGTGAATGATCACAGAGGTCACATGGTACAAGGCTATTCACAAAAGCCTTGTACCATGTGACAAGCTGTGACCAATCACAGCTCACTCTGTATTTTTCAATGAGTGCAGAAATGCACACAGAGAGAAAGAGAAATGATTGCTTTTACATCCTATATGGGTGTAAAAGCAATCAGTGTAAAAAAAAAAAAAAAAACCCTCACAAGTAGTACAGTGTCACCATGGTGACACTGTACTGCTAGGGTGACAGTATGTAAAAAAAAAAAATAATATAAAAAAATTAAATAAAAATGTAAAAATAAATGTTTAAAAAATATAATTTTTGCTTATAAACTAATTTGGATTTTTTTTTTTTTTTACTAAAAAGATAACAGAATAAATTTTGGCTAAGATTTATGATGAAATATTATTTATTTGCAAAATTTTATTAAAAAAACACTTTTTTAAAAATTTTTTGGACATTTCATTTACATAGCAAAAAAAATACAAATCCCAGTGGTGAATAAATACCACCAAAATAAAGCTTTATCTTTGTCAAAAAAATGGTAAAAAATTCTTTTGGGTACAGTGTTACATGACCGCGCAATTGTCATTCAAAGTGTGATAGCGCTAAAAGCTGAAAATTGCCCTGGTCAGGAAGGGGGTAAAAGTGTCCGGTCTGGAAGTGGTTAAAAACCGGCACTGACATATGGTGACAGCCAGTGAGGGAGCCTCTCTGTATACACTGATCCCTCACTGTATACACTGCGCCCTCTCCTGATCCCTCCTTGCACACACTGCCCCACCCCCTGCCCCCTACAAAGAGGACCTGTCACTCATATGCTATCCCATAGGGAAAAAAATACAAAAAAATTTGGTTCCTCCCCACATACGCAGATATTTCGGTTTTGGCTCAGTTTTCAGCCACATGCATTCTGAATTTTTCGGCACCAGAATTTTCATTTCGGTGCACCACTAATTAATATATTTTCAAACGCAATTTTTTGGAAAAAAATACACTTTAATAATTAAAAAAAAACATATATACTCCAATTGTTTTGTAAAATATGAAAGATGTTGTTATGCCAAATAAATAGATACCCAACATGTCACACTTTAAAATTGCGCACGCTCGTAGAATGGCATCAAACTATGGTACTTAAAAACCTCCATGACTGACGCTTTAAAAATGTCCACAGTGTAAAGTTAGAGGAGGTCTAGTGCTAGAATTATATTATTGCTCTTACTTTTAGATATGGGGGGATGGGGGCACTTTAACCCTTTTTTTTTTTTTTCTTTTTTTACTATTTTACACTGTTCCTTAAAAAAGAAATAAATAAATAATAATAAAAAATATATATATTATACATGCATCCCTTGTGATAGAAATAATTAGTGACAGGTCCTCTTTATGGAGCGATATGGGGTCAATTAGAATACATGCATAAAAACAAATAGAAACCCCTTGCAAATGTCACTTGCAGATACATGAGTTTACATCAGTTTTCATGCACGTTTCAGTGAGTTATTTTGCATGTTGACATCAGTTTTCATGTGTTTGGTTTTTCTTTTTTTTTTGTGCATTTTATTTCAGTGAAGCGCACAAGTATGACTAGGTCCCTAGTTAGTCTTATATTCACTGCATGTGTAACATCAACCAGTAGGTTTTTAATTAAAACGGTTGTAAAGGCTCAAGGTTTTTTACCTTCATGCATTCTATGTGTGCAGCAGTGCCCCCCTAACCCCCTCAATACTTACCTGAGCCCCATCGAGATCCAGTGATGTGCACGACAGCCTCGGCTGTCCCAGGTCTCTGCCTCTGCCATTGGCTCCTTGCTGATGTCAATCACAGCCAGTCAGTCAATGAGGAGAGAGAGGGGGCAGGACCAAGCAACGGCTCCGTGTGTGAACGGACACACAGAGTAGCCGGTGCCCTCACAGCAAGCTGCTTCCTATGGGGGGTACCCGACATAAAGGAGGAGCCAGGAGAGCCTGCGGGGACCCAAGAAGAAGAGGATCCAGGCTGCTCTGTGCAAAACAGTACACAGAGCAGGTAAGTATAGACATGTTTGTTATTTTACAAAATAATAAAAAAAATTAATCTTTAGTATCGTTTTTAGACTGGGGACAGAAGGCCAAAACCTTTTATGCAACAAAAAAAAAATTTCTTGCTAATTTTAAAGTATGCTTTCAGTCATGTTGGAATATCCAACCCTCCTTTTCAGCTTCAGTTTCTTTGACTGTTGCAAAATTAGTAGGGATGAGTGGATTGATTTTGGCCAATTTGATTTCCCAGCAAGCTACTGATTTCTGTAAAGCCTAGGTTCACACCTGTTCCTGCAGCCATAATTACCTGCACAGAAAAATGCACGCGATATGTGCGGGTGCCATTATTCCTAAGGGAACATTGCACACAGGAACTCACTCCTGCACTTCCAGTTCCCTTGTGGGCTGCAATTACAGAAATGGTGCTGAGACCTTTCCCCCCGCATTTCTGGGAGCAGAACAGCCCATTCAAATGAATGGGCTGCCATGCCCGGCCAATTTGTTGATTTGTTTTTGTGGCGTATTGTAATTTAGCCTTATTTCATTTTCTTTGTATTTGTGTTTTTTTTTTTTGTTTTGTTTTTGGGTCTATTTATAGATGTTTTAGACAAGATTTACAACTTCCACCCAGCACTCACAAATTATTTAAAATTAGTCTGTCCAGTTAGAAAGAGGAGTCTTGGATGGAAGTTATGTGAATCTTGAGTGACAAAATTATAAATAGACCCTTAGTGTATTTTATCAATATTTGTACACAATTTACATGTCACATTTAAAAAAAAATGTTTTTCTTTCTGTGGAAAACACAAAGTTAAGAGGCCAATTTTTAACACAAGAACATGTCCAGGATAGTTAAAGAGGAACTTTCCTAACCTATAGGAGCTATTCAAAACCCATTGCACCCTTAAAATACATAATTTAATTGAAATGCATTTTTCCAATAAATTTTACCATTTTTGGCAAAAAACGTCAGAGCTTTCCTGAAATTTCAAGGAGGTGTGTCTTTCAGAATTTAATACTTTTGTAAACTCCGTTTATCTGAAGTCCTCTTCCAAGGCAGTATTGAGAGAAGGCTTCTCCCACCTAGAAACAGGAAATACATCATCCACCATTATAAAAAAAAAAGGGCAACATACCCCTGAGCCTCAGTTCTATATATTATTACTTCAGATGTTTGTTTGTTTTTTTCCCCCAAATCTTTCATGCTGTAGTGCTAGTTGCAAGGGCCTCCCTGTCTGGCTACCTATCCTACCTGTTTTTTTAAACCAATTGATATGCCTAGACAGAGTACCTAGGAGAAAAAATGTATATTTTTATATCTCCTCCTTGTTTTTTTTTTTTTTTTTTCTTTGTTTTGTTTCCCTTTTTTATTGTAAGCCCGAGGTCCCAGTTAAACCCTGACAAGGATTCTAACCTTATCCCTCTCTATCAAAAAAAAAAAAAAAAAATTTTGCTGGCCATACAATTTTAATTCTAGGGCTGTCTTCATTTGGGTTGGAATAAAGTGGCATGAAATTAAATCCTTATTCTCCAAAAATAATGCATACATATCCATTACTTAATGACCCTGTAATCCTATTTTTTAAATCGATTTTATTTTATTTTTTTTTTTTTTTTTCCTGCCTACTTTTACCACCCTCTCTGAGCTTCCAAACCTCTCCCTTTCCTCTCACTTCAGTTCGTATGGAATGAGCAGCGCACATTAGTTGCATTCATGTGCACTGCTCTATATGCACTACAAATCCCATCTGTGCAGCAAGCAAGAGAGGGTGACTTCATTGCCAAATACAGTGGGAATATGGAGAATGAACGTAGCCACCCTCTAACTGGAAATTGGATCACAGCAAAGGGTTTTAGAGGAGACAAAGTGGTAGAAGACCTTTTTTTTTTCGAGTTAATACATACTTGGAGACATTTTTGTTTTTGTTTTTTTTTTAAACCAGTTTAGTGTCAATAATTAAGTCAA